TGCCATTAAATCAAGTGAATTCAGTAACAGAAATTGGGAATCTCACCACCAAATAAGAGGAAGAAACAGAGAATGTAGCATGAGCCCTGCAGGGCAGATAGTCTTACATCAGTTAGACCTATAGGAGAGTCGGAGCAGTTGCAACAAAGAACCAGACATCCAATGTGAGACAGCTGATCTGAGACAACTACCCTATGGAACCAGGACCAAGGGGGTTTCGTCCAAGCTAGCTGGGAGACTGGGAGGGACAAAAGCCTAATTGACTAAGAAAACTTTGATGAAATCTAGATACTAAGGTACACCTGATACAGGCCATGGTCTTCACAATTACTTACTATGCATCAGAGGGTTGGATAATGACTAAAGATGATAGAAGAATTGATGCCTTTGAGTTGTGGTGCTAGAGAAGCGTACTGAATATATCATAGACTGCTAAGAGAGCAAACAGGTTCATTCTGGAGAGGGTAAAACCAGGATACTCCCTGGAGGCAACAATTTTGAAGCTTCGTCTGACATACTTTGGGTATGTTGCCAGGAGGGACCAGTCATTGGAGTGGGCCATCATGCTTAGAAGGGTGGAAGGACAGCACAAGAGAAGAAGATCTTGGATGAGAAGGATTGATTCAGTGATTGAGGTAATGGGGGTAGGTGTGTTAAAGACAATGAAATTGGCTTAAGAAAGAGCAGGATTCAGAGCTGTTGTTCATAGGGGTGTTGAGTCACAGGCGACTCGACAAGACATAACCACCACCACAAGATAGCTTTGTTATACTAACCTAAAGCATCAAGGGTGAAGGGCCAGCAAACATACTTCAGAAGCTGGCTTAAGTAAGAAATTACATTCCTGTTACCAACCTGTTAATTTCCATAATAAACCCCATAATCATGGGTATGCTTCGGGGAAGTCTGTGTAGGTATTGTAATGGATTTGGGATCCAGTAAGGCAGTAGGAATGGTGCTGGCATTAGTAGAAATAGATGAGGGAGCATGAGAGTTTTGTAACTTGGATGTTCTTGATGGGAACAGTTCCCACTGGTGAATTTAGTAGAGGTCAGATATGTTCATCCCTATGCTGTTCTCACTCGTTTGGAAAGAGATTCATTGAACAAGAATAAAATATCTTGTTTAACAGTGAGCTTTGAAAAGAAAATGTAAAGCTGATAAAAACTAAGAACATTTACTATTCACTTTTTAAAAATGCACAACTTAGATGGGAGTTGGATGGACAATCTCCTCTTGGGTCATTTACTGTCTTTAAAAACATGCTGGAGAGTCAGTAATGGGTCAGTTCCTGGATGTCACACATCACCACCACTTAGATGTTTAAGAAGAACATACTAGCCTCAATTGTTGTTTGGTTGAATCACCTATGACTCATAGCCTCCCTATGAACAACACAGCTGAACCTTGCCTTATACTGTTCCACCTTTACCACCTCTGATATGGTCAAGCCCACTGTTAACGTCATCATGATGTCTCTGACTTTCCATTTTTCCCAGAATGATGTATTTTTCCAAGAACTTATCCCTCCCCAAAACATGTCCAAAGTATGTGAGGTGAAGTTTCACCATCCCTGACTCTAAGGTGCACTCTAGATGCACTTCCTCAAAGACATGTCTGTTTGTTCTTTTAGTAGTCCATGGTATATCCAATATTCTACTGAAACACCACAAATCAAAGGCAGAGATTCTTCTTCTGTCATCATTAACCATTGTTTAACATCCATATGCATAGCAAGTAAATGAAAAGGCCATGGCTTAGATAAGCTGTACCTTAGCCTTTAAAAGGACATCCAGCTCTTGAAACTGACATCTTATTCTTTGGAAAGGTCCCTGAAAGAACATTTCCCCAGGGCAACACATCTTTTGATTTTTAGACTGCTGTAAACTTGGGTGTTGATTATTGATCCAAGTGAAATGAAATCACTGATAACTTCAATGTTTTCTCCATATATCACAATGTTGCCTATTAATCCAGTAATGAGGATTTTTTTCCCCCTTGAGGTTCAGATGTAGTTAATATTAAAGGATGCAGTCTTTGGTCTTCTGTATAAAGTGTGTCACATCTTCACTTCCAGCAAGCAAGGTTGTGCCATCTATATAATACAGGTTGTTGAGTTTTCTTATTTACATGACACAATGTTCTTCAGCTAACCCAGATTCTCAAATGATTGCTCAGCATAAAGGCTGAATAGGTATGGAGAAAGGATACCTGATGCACATCTTTCCTAATTTTAAACCATTATTAGTAGGCCCAGCTAGGCTAACACTATTCCTAACATGGATAAGAAGTAGTAAAACCCATTGGTATCAAGCTGATTCCAACTCATGGGAACTCTATGTGTTGCAAAGATATGGGCTCCAGAAGGCTTAAACAGCTGTGACTTTTTTGAAGCAGATCAATGGGCCTTTTTTCTGTGATCTTTCTGGATATGTTCTAATAGTAAACCTCTTGATCAGTTTTATGTTTAACTGTAACACCCATGGGGTAGTAGAGGGGAGTGACTGAAAGAATGCACTTAATGGATTTTTTTAAAGATACACAATTAGTAGAGGCATTCCTTATTTCAAAATAGAGTATTTCTTAATTATCTGAAAATAGTCAATTGATGTGATTATTTTTGTTAAATATTGTCTTGTGTGCTTGATTATGAACTGAATTGTATTAAACAACAGAGTCATCTTGAGTTATTTTAAATCCATTTGTGTAGTTAGGTTTCCCAACACATGTGGTTACCTAATACTTATTATTATGGCAATGTCATGGGTTTATTATTCAAAATGGCTTTCCTAGCCTTGTCTTTCACCTCATTACTGAGGAGAAACCTCAAATAGGGCATGTATTCATTCTTATGTGATTGGTCAGTTTTATCCATCCCAGTAAGTATAAATTGAGCAAGTTTAGGAGCAATGATGGGAATCTCACTTACAAGGAAGAAGAAGCAGAAAGTGTAGTGCCAAGCCAATTGGAACCAGAGATTTCTGTGCCAGTCAGACTGAGATCTACACGAGAGGAGGAATCTCAGCAAAGAACAAGAGAACTGAGGGGAAATGCCATTAGTTGGCAGAACTAAGAGAATTTTATAATGTTGACCTAAGCTGTGACAATGAAGGTTAAAGAATCTGTAAGCAGTCTGCACTGAGGAATTGGATGTAGCTTGCTGACTTCCCTTATAAATCCCTATAACCGTGAGTATAGTTCTGTGAGATGCGTGTCAGCATTGCAATGAATGACAGAACCAGTAGTAAAACAGTACAATTGGTGTTACAATTAGTAGAAGTAGATGTGGGAGTGTGGAGGTCATTTCACACATTTTGGGAATTGCTTCTGTATTGCGGATGTTCCCGACAGGGACTTTTTCACTTTGTGAAGTTAATAAAGGTCAAACTCTGGTAACTGCATGCTGCCCCTAACCTTTTTCTAAAAAAAAAAAAATCTTTTTTTATACTAGTTTATTTACACAATTCTAATATATTGTTTTCTACACAATTCTAATATATTGTTTTCGAGAACAGATTCTTCCAATTTCCCTCACCCCCCATCAAATTGTACCACCACCCTTTTTACAGTTCTAATTATATAACTTTACCTCAAATTCTGTCCATTTTCAAAGCTACAAAGAAAAAACAGATGGTCTCTTAATTCCATACTTACCATATACTTTCTAGATGTATAGTTCAATAACTTGCCTGAGTATCATTTGAAGCTTGAATTCCTTAATGCATTTGCATAAATTCTACATTGTTTAGAACTTAAACCAAGGGAAGCATTGTTGGGAATTCACTAGATTCTGAATTGCCATTTTCTTTACACTGTTAACAAGGATATTCACCTTTTCTAGTCCCTAGTCTGAGAAAAATATCCTTAATGCATATTATTGTTGTTTTTGATTGCCAACAAGTTGAGCACGACCCATAGCAACCCTATGAATAAAAGACCTGAAGCCTTTCTATAACTATGAACATTTATCAAAGTTCATAGAGTATCCAGAGGCATGTTGTTTAAGAAGTGGATGCTACTCTTACTTCCAATAATGCATGTTACTAAAGGTTATATATATGTTAACCTATTATAATACTAAAAGATTTGCTCTGGTCCACAATTTCCTTAAAAGAATTTGTTTGTTTTAATGCACACCACTGGTGCAAAATAGTCTCTGAGTGAAAAGAGCAGAATCAAACTGTACCTATTTTAAGCAACTCCAAGAAGAGTGAATGTACATGTTTAGTAGGCATATTATGAAGACCTTAATCTTTCCTTAAACACAATAATGTTTTCTTTTCTCCACATGATTTCTATGTTCATTTTTCACTGGGGACAGTTTTCCAAACTTAATGTATAGTGATTATATAAAATTTTTCAATCAGTGGCAATCTATAATAATTAAAATATGGTAAACATCTGTCTGTCTTGGAGAGAATATGACAGTAAGTCTATTAAAGGGGAAATTCTGTTTAAGGTAGAAAAGCTTTAGTAATTTACTCATTTTAGTGGTTTAATCTTTTCCTTCTTTTTTCCTCCATTGACCTATAATGAAACAGTTGTACCATTGTAAATTCCTATGTATAATAAAAGTTGGGGAGCAGAATCACCAAACCAATCAATGAATAAAAACACTACTTAAGAGTAATATTCAGCCAAACACTGACTCAATGTCATTGCGTTTGTTCTGACTCATAACTCACCATCCATCAAGCTTCACTGTAAATCACAAAGGAAGAGAGCGCTTATGTTTTTCCATGGACTAGTGGACAGCCAGAAAAGCCTCTGGGCTAATGATGCAACTTTATAGACTAAGGCACCATAATTTTTAAAAAAAGGACTATGATAGAAATAATAATGGAAATGAGAATTACAGTGAGGACCTGGAAAAAGAGTGATTTTACTGTGGAGATTGTAATCCTGCCATAAAACAAAATATATATGAATATTTTAATGTAAAACTAGTCTGCTTTGTAAACGTTCACTCAAATCACAATTTTTAAAAAAAAGTTTCTCACCTTGTTCTCGTCTTAAATTTTGTTCAATGTTTGATACACAGGAAGCACAAGTCATGCCAGTGACCTGTATATAACACTTAGAAGTCTTTGTCTCCTCTTTGTCATGAACTGGTATCACCATTTCTGCAGCAAATTCATTAGTTGAAGCCAAAAGTGGCATTTGTGAGGAAGGCTGAGTTATTAATACTGATGGCCTATTCACATCTGATAGAAAGAAGAAGAAGATTCTTTTCATTTACAATATTGACCATTTTTCAAATATATTTTTGTTATTCATCATAATCCATAACTTTAGGCCCTATCAATCTATTCATTTTAAACCAGCAAAAATATATTAAGCTCCAAGCAAATTCCAGGTAGTGACTTCCAATTTCAATACTGCCCATTCCCATTCCCAAGAAAATATGAGCTTTACTGAGTAAGTTTCATTTTAGTAATATTAAGTTATTTCAGCCATTGTCGTCTCATTCTCTCTACCATTATTATCCAACAGTTAATGGATAACATGTATTTTTGTAATAAGTTTTTACCATCATGTCAAAAACTTGCACCTTGGTCCTAAAATAATTCGGGATATACTACATGGAATAAAATGTAATGTGCAAAACAGTATTGCAGAATTCAACCACTACAAAATTTTGTCTATGTGTGCATACATATAAACATGCACACATGAGAATAAGAAAGACTGTGAAGCTCCATTCCAAAGTATTCATTAGGGCTACTTTTGTGGAGGGAATATAAGACAGAAATAGAATGACAAATAGATGAACAAATTTTCTTTCTCTAGAAACAGTATTATTTTAATTTTTTTTCATTATTTGAATTTTTAACATCAATAAATGTTGTTAGGTGCCCTCAGTTTGACTCCAACTCATAGAAACCTTATGTATACAAAGAATGAAACCATACCTGATCCAAACTAAAAAAAAAAAAAAAGAACCAAAATGGAGCTCTTGTGCCTAGTAGTTAAGTAGTTAAACCAAAATCTGCTCAATCAAAATTAAAAATATTTAAAAAGTAAGCCTCTGCTTCTTTTTTAAAATAGTATTTCATAGTAGCAGTAGTTTTAATGAAAATTTACAGATATTTTCGATTTCCATTCATTCCCTGTTGCACTTTTCTCCCTGCCCACCCCTCCTGTCCAGTTCATTCTTCTCTTTCAAAAGTAAAAGAAAAATTCTTTCATTGTTATACAATTTCTGCCCCCAAGTCCACTCCACTATGCAGCCTTCCTTCTGGACTCATAAGCTTCTGCTTCTTTGTGGCTGGAAATTGTGATAAGCCAAATCCTGCCCAATTAATACCGTTATATTTCAAAATGTCTTTTGGACCATGAAAAAAGAAGCAAAGAGTAAATCAGCAACATTCATTGTGAGACTGTTGTTGTTAGCTACCAATGATTTAAGTACAACCAGCAGTAAACCTATGAGCAAGAGATCTGAATCCTGTCCTCTCCTGCCCCAACCTTATCATCCTTGACACACTTGAGCCCACTGCCACAGTCACTGTATTAATCCATCTCATCAAGGGTCTCCTCTCTTTTGCTGATTTTCAATCCTTCCAAGCATAATACCCTTTTCGAAGGAATGTTGTTATTGCTGTGTACCGTAGAGTCAGAAGCGATCCACAGCTGACCGTCCAGTGAGTTTTCAAAGGTAGTTAATCGCAAGGGAGGAGACTGCCCATTCTGTTCCACCGGGTACATCATAAGGAAAATACAGTAATCGAAGAATCTCTACTAAAAATGTTTGTGGACTGTGGAAAATGGAATGTACCTATTATCTTAAAATGAAAATATAGATGGCACAGTTGGGTAAGAAATGGGTTGTTAACTAAAAGGTTGATGGTACGAGTTCACGAGCATTTTTGTGAAGGAAAAATGAGTAACTTTGTTTTTCTAAAGGTTTACAGCTTTGAAATCATCCTATGGGGGCAATCCTACTCTATCCTATACAGGTGGTATGAATTAAATCAACTAAAAAACAGTGGGATTATTATCCTCAAATCTTCCCTGACAGAAATCTGCTGTTCCACTTCAGTTTATTCATTTCCATATATTTCACCTCCCCAAGAGAGGAGAAATTGTTCTCTATAGCACATCCGTGAAGCTTAAAAAAATAATCAAACAAAAGCTAAAGTGTTCTCCTTTCATATAAAGATGAAGGAAAAGAGGCAATGTGAAAATCTTTACCAATCTATATAACTTGCTCTTTCTTCCACTTAGGAAAAGAAAAAACATAAGTACATCTGTAAACTCAATTAACAAAATCGCTGCATAGCAAGGTTCTTTATGACAGTGAAGAATGACATCTTTTGAAAAAAGTTCAACCAGTCTAAACATATCCCTAAATGATTTAGACTTTTCAAATCAATATAATCTAGAACACTGCTTTATTTTTCTAAATAAACTTTTTATTTTATACTAGTTTATTTACAAGTTTCATATGCATTGTTTTTTACACCAGATCTTTCCCATTTCCTTTACCTACCCCTTCCTCCACCCATCAAATTCTGTGACCCTATGATTAACTACCATATCCCACCCCACGCCCCACCCATCCTAACCCCTCTGCTCCCCACCCCTTGGATCCTCAAACACATTGTACAATATTGCTTTTATGCAGTATTTGTCCTTAAGGGACTGAGTTAGTTCACTTACTGTTGCTTTTTAAATTTAAGTGCATACAAATTACATGAGAATCTCATGAAAATGATGATTCTGATTCAGTACATTCAGAAAATAGCCTGAGATTCTTTATTCCCATCGTGCTCCCTCGTGATGTAAATGCTCTAGTCTGGAAATACAAGAGACACTCAAAGGACTAGATTCTCCCAGTTTCTAAACTAGCAGGCCTGTGCTCTTTAATAATTTTAGAAACTTATTATTTCAGATTTAACAGCACTATTGAACACTTTGCCAAGTGTTAGCACTATCATTAAGAACTAAAAAAAAATCTATTGATCAAAGGGAAATGGTTTTGGTGTTGGATAATCCTACTATTCTAATCAAGTCAAAGGCATCCTTTCATTCACTATTATTATCAATACTTAATTATGGACGTTTTCATGGTGCGCCATCTTCCCAACAGGAATGGCCAGCAGCCTCAGAGTGGCTCATGGTCAAGGGCGGTGACGGCCTTCTTTGCTGGTAGAAGTCAACAAAATCAAGCTTGTTCTGTTTGATCTGCTCACTTGCTTGTTTTTATGGTTTATTACTAGTGCAGCATTCATCTGTCAGTTTATTATGTTGGAAGAAATGGTTTGTGTGGTGCTACTTATTATATAGTCTGCGTATGTATATGCATGCTTATTCATTGTTTACTGTTATGAATATAGTTTTTCTCTGTCAGTTGATGTATTGAGATAGCTTACTGGGTGCTGTGGTGCTGGAAGTCATGCAACCAGTACTTTAATGCAAGCAAATTACCCATGGAGGGCAGCTTACAAGAGAGTTTTCAGTTTGAGACAGACTGGGAAGAAGGACTGGCCATCCATTTCTGAACAAAACAAAAAAAAAACCCTACAAACATAATACAAGAGGAAGAATTCTTAGACCAAAAGACACTCAAAATGAGTAGAAACTGTTGTAAACATGCATTAATAATTGGTGCTTGGAATATGAGAAGTTGTTGTTGTTATGTGCAATCGAGTCGTTTGCGACTCATAGCAACCCTATGCATAACAGCCCTAAACCCTGCTCTATCCTGTGCCAACCGCACTATCTCTGACACACCCATCCCGATTACCCCAGTCACCAAATCAATCCATCTCATAGAGGGTCTTCCCCTCCTACGCTGTCCCTCCACCCTCCCAAGCATG